GGGTTTGGAGAGATCCAACTTGGTGAATACATGTATGTACCTGAAAGGTAATACAACCCCAATTCCTGTGCACAGGACCCGCCCTCCCTCACCCATAGCTCACCTATCTCTCTCTCCTTTTGGCTGTTCATCTGTATCCTTTAATAAACTGGTAAACTTGAGTGAGTATTTTCCTAAGTTCTGTGAGCTGCTCTAACAAATAATTGAACCCAAGGGGAGGAGATCATGGGTACCTCTGATTTGTAGCCAAGTCAAGCAGAAGTTGTGGGCTACCTGGGGAACTATTACCTATAAGTGGTCTCTATAGTGGAGGCAATCTCATGCCCTTAACCTTTGGGTCTGATCATTATCTCCAACTAGAAAGTATCAGAATTGAGTCAAATTGCAGGACAACCAGCTGGTATCACAGAGAATAGCTTGGTGGAGAAAAAAAGTCCCCCTTCATATTTGGAGTCAGAGTGGTGTTAGTGTGGTAGTCGTATGAGAATAAAAGAGAGACACACAGAAGGAAAAGTGTAGGATTCCCATTCACACAGAAACACTGGGGCTAAGCAAAACTTCTCAAATATTCTTTCTCAGAAGGAGGGTTTCCAAAGGAGCTTAGAAGACATGGATAACCAGGGGCTGGCCAGCTCACACTGAGATATTTGATCTACTTACTTTGCCCAGCCACTAAATTTATTCTCCTTATCTAAAAAAAGTTTACTGTACTGCCCATAAACAGGAACCATTTCAACTCTGCAGATTGAGAAAATATAACTGAAAATAAATTTGACTAGAATAAAGGTCAAAATGAGAGTTAAGAAGAAAGTGTATGTGCACCCAGATGGTTGATTATATATTTAATGATTTCAACAGTACATAGTAACATGCACATTTTAAATTATAGTTTCTTTTATTTTAAACTGGCCTACAAAAGAAGTCAACTTTGAAGTTGAAACATCATTTTTTGCTAATGACTTCTGGATTTTCCTGAAAGCTTAGATTCAAGGACTTGAGAACCATGAGCTCCAAGTCAATGTTAGAGAAGATGGCCACCAGGACTCCTGAGAGATGGCAAAGGCAGACAAGGGACATAGCAGAAAATCAATTTATCCTTCTCACTGCTCTTTTTTTCTGGATAGTTTCTGTCTTTGAGAGTATTGTAAAACCGATTATTCCAATTACTTTGAGAGTATTGTATAACCAAGTGGATATACTCCTAGAGGCCCTTATCATGTAAACACACTGGTACAAAGCATAAGAACCTACACTCCTAGCTGTAGAGCTTCAAGTTACACTAAGCAAAGTCTAATATTATAAACCTGTTCTAAAGATCCAATTTTCTCTCTCTCAAAATAGCAGTTTCCATGGCTACATAATCATTTATTATTAGGACTTAGAGGAAATGCATTTTGGGGAATAATGCAGTAGAGATCATTTTTAAGGTTCACAGTGTGAAGTGGGAAATTATATCAAATATAAACTCTGGTCATTTGCACAGCTTGCTTGATGCTTCAACGACATTCATTTTTACCAAAAGTACAACACTGAAAGCTCAGTTATAGCGATGGTTCCACAAGCCCTCTAGCCATGTCGGTCTTGGCGTTAGACAGTGCAGTGTCTAGCACAGCCTCTGGTCAGGGCCACGGACGTGGCCACTGACTAGGCCAGCAGGGAAGTGTAATGGGGTGGGAAACAAGGCTACAGGGGGACAGGCTGCCTGGCGGTTAGCAAAGGTGGTCTTCCTTGTTTCATCTATGATCTGGCCTGCAGATTACAGAGTGCACCTGCCAGTCTGGAGCAAGGGATGAGAAGGGCCAATGGGAAAGTGAAGTCAAGTGCTTGAACAGCAGGAACAGAAGAGCTGCTCTCCACAGTGCCTCTGACTCATTAGTGGCTACCAGGAGACTCAGAACAAATTTCTTTTTCTTGAAGTTGCCTCAGGAAGTTTCCATTCCTTGCATGCCAAATAGCATAATATAGACCTTAATAGCTTTTTCATTTTTATAGTATATACACTTTATAATCTGGGAGCTCCCATTCACGGGTGTATGTTTGCAGGTTTGGAGTGTGACATGTGTCTGTGGCTAGCTGAGTGCATGAATGCATATTTAGACTTTCATCTATAGTTGACAAGAGGACTCCTGGCTCTGCAAGTAGACTGCCCCACTGGGCACTCTTCACCGGTGTTCCCATTACTTTTCCTGCCGTAATTCTTCTTCCTTGTAATCTTTCTCTTTTCAGATTGAGATATAATTCACATAATATAATTTCATATAACATAAAGTTCACCATTTTGAAGTATATAATTCAGTATTTTTTAGTATACTCATAAGCTTGTACAACTGTCAATACTATCCAATTCCAGAACATTCTCATTACCCTTCAAAGAAACTGTGTACTCTTAGCAGTCACTCTCAATTTCTCCCACCTTCAAACTCCTGACAACCGCTAATCTACTTCTATCTCTATGGATATCTATCTCTATTTTGGACAATAACATTCATTATGTGATGCGTCCCATTTTGCTTATTCATTTATCATTTGATGAACTTTTTTTTTCACTTTTGGGCTATTAGGAATTATGCTGCTGTGAACATTGGCACATAGTCTTTGTGTGGATATAAGTTTTAAATCTCTTGGGTATATATCCCGGAGTGGAGATGCTGGGTACCTCTGTGCTTAAGCTTTTGAGGATCTGTGAGACTGCACCTAGGTTATTTGTCAGCAGTTCCCATAACAGAATTTCAGCATCACTGAGAAGCATTTATTCCCCCAAATATTTCCATGGCTCCTGCCATGAAAGAAGTTACTTTAACAGAGTTTAGAATTATTCCCTTCATAGTAAGCATAAGGTTAAAAAATCAATACTGTTGAGTAAGGAATTTGACTTCCACTTGGAGATTTTCCCCACTCCTGCACCCAAATCTAAACCAGCTTGGTTCTCATGGACTGAATGATCCATCCAGCTGTGGAATGAAAAGAAATGTACTTACTAAAGGATATAAGAGTGACAACAGCAATACCTTCACAAATGTAAATTTAAGGGCATGGTCAATAAAAAAAGGCAAGTGTTGAAGGAACTGTTAAGCATGGCAGGAAATGAGAAATTTTAAATACTTTTCTGGTTAAGAAAAATTTTAATTAGTAAATAGTTTCTTTAGTATATGCAGTGGAAGCTCATTAAATCCTTCAGGGGTCACTTCAGGGAGTGTGGCGCAGGTCTGCACTGCATCCCTATGTTTTACTATGCCCTTTGGAGCTGAGCATACAGCTGCTGCTTGTCAAATGCTCCCAGACTCAGGGTGAGGGTGGAGGTGGGGGGTGTAGCCAGTTCTTGGTTGTGATAAGAAGGAGGTTAAGTAAATTTTACTAACACCGGGGGTCCTCCCCCATCGCATCCCAGAGATCCTCTTCTCTCCTCTGGAGAACTCTCTCTCTCCACCCACTTCTTATATGTGATTTGAGGCCTTTCCTCCTGAAACCAACTTCTGAGGACTGAACTTTTTGTGTCCAGGATCCTCTTCTCACTGAACTCGCTCCAATGTGTTCAGTCATTTCCAAGGCCTTGTATACCATCAGAGGGCTGATAAGTTCCACACCTGTATCACTAGTCTCACTGTGAGCTCTAGGCTCCAACCAATTGTGTGCTTGGACTCTCCCCTTAGACACCCCTTTAGCATCTCAAACTTAAATTCTCCAAATGGGAGCCTAGCATCTTCCTCTGTTCTCCCATAAACAACACCTCCCAGGTTTCTCCACTTAATAAATGGCTCCATGACCCACTGCATTGTCATCCTTAATCCCCTCTTTCCTCTGCTGCCCTCACCAATCCAATCTACCGCCTGACCCAAGGCACCCCACCGGGGTCTCTGCCTCCCTTTGTTAATTCTCCATACAGCAGCCAGAGTAACCCTGACAACCTCATTTATGGAGCTGATGGGCATGCATTGCATTTGGAAGAAAATCTAAGTTCCTCGGTATGGCCTTCAGCACTTGGGAGGGTCAGGCTGTGGCAACCTCTCTCACCAGTTTATGGCCATTCTTCCATCACCTTTCTGCTTCCATACTGGTTTACTGTCATGCCTGGGACACAGCCAGCACTCCCTCCTTGAGCCCTTGCCATTGGCCCCTCTCAGTGCCAGTCACAGGGTGATGGTGTCTGATTGTCTATGGATGAGACAGTGCTGGGGATGGTCACGCAACTGCTTTCTCCTTGAAATCAGTATTCACAGCATAGCTCCATTAGTTGGTTCTAAATATTGTGAATTCCCAGGTTTTATGCTTATGGAATCTCTTTTACGTATATGAATTTTTAGAGTTTATAGACTAAAAATGTAACAGTGCCAATTTCTTGCTGTGCAAAGACTCATCTAAAACTAGTTAAATAATTTTTGTTATCAAAACAGCAAATATTTCTAGAACTTCTTGATTAACATTTTCTGGGGGACAATTATTCTCTAATAGTTATAGAATGAATTTAAATACCAATACATTTCAGGAGAAAACAATCAGCCAGCCTCAGCACCAAGGTCTTTTCCTTATTTCCTATTTCTCTTCACTACATTTTTCATCAAATATTTACTTATCTACTTTCAAGGTCCTAATTTACTTCTATGTATTACATTACTTTAAGAGCTTGGGCTTGATTGAAGATTTTGATATTATTTTAACTTCGGGTCCCTGCTAAAATAACAAATATCTAATTACATTATGATTTACAGATATACCTATAACTCTACATAAGCAAAAGTGAATAGAACTGAAAACAATGATCAGGATAAAATGAATACAACATGCTTCTGATTTTTCCCAGAAACAGTGATTCCTATTGGATTTTCAATTTTCCAGCTACTAAAAATGCCTCACTTTAAAAGTTGATTTCTGCAGTGAGATGATAATTATTTGTTCCTTGCATTCAAGAGATGCCAGTAACCCTGGGAGCGCAGCACAGGAGTACATGCAATCATGCAACCCTATCTTCAAAGCGGCCTGGGCCTGGCTCACAGCAGACTTACTATTGTGCGCAGTCGATCAGCTGGTATTCGTTGGACCTCTCAAAGCATGCCTTCACGCCTTCATCATCCCAAAGTTTCTTCACATGATCAAAGAATTCCTAAAATTTGAAAAAGTTACAAATAAGAGAATGCATATGTTACAATACTTGACAAAGTTAAAAATAAAAAGAAACTGCCCCCCAAAGTTTACAGGTAGCACATGAATTATTTTCTTTGTGGAAGTCTACTTTACACATGGTAAAATGCAGATCTTGCATTCTGTGTAATGGAAAATGGATGCATATGTGTTATCATCATGCAAGTTAACCTGTCAAACATCTTTATCATTCCAGAAAGTTCCAGAAAATAAAAATTGCAAGATAAAAGTTAATGACATTCATTAACCAGAAATACAACCAACTAACAATTTTAAAGTTCTTAGTATTCAATAATTTTAATTAGTGGAACTCCCACTTCAGCAATGAAAAAACCATGTCTATTTTAATGGTAAGTTCTGTTTTAGCTGCTTTAAATTTTCTATGTGAGCCATGATTATGAATAGACATAGTTGAGCAGGCAGGTTAAATCTGACCCAGGAGCATTAGGTACTTAAGAAAGAGACCTTTAAAATCACACCCTTTAGGGATAGCAATTTATTGGTTTTTGGCATTAAAAAAACTGTGAGTTGGGTGTGAACTATGATTGTTGGTTCACTCAAATTTGTGTGAGAACAGTGCTCAATTTCATCCATTATAAGAAATAACATCCTTTGAAGCAAAAACTTTCCTTATCGTGAATTAAAAGGTGGCCTTAGGAATTCATATTGCCAAAATTATCCAAACTATCTTAATACTGTTATGGAAGCAAATGACTATATATTAGTAAGTATAAATTTCCATAAAACACTTTGTTACAATATTTACATCTCTTTCCACATCAGTCCTTTGCCCCTCATGGCAACCCTAGGAAGCACCCATTCCATCTTTGCTCTGTATGGAAGTGTCTGGGGCTATGCGGCCAGGAAGCAGCTGAGGTCTTTTAAGTCTATCAGAGCTTCTACGATCCTTAGGAGTCAGCATAGGGTCTTTGGAGGAAAAAAAATTATGAGTTGCTATTTTTCTTAGAAATTTACAATTCCATACAAGGGTGAATCCAAGTATTGTGGGGCCTGATGCTTATACAATTTGGGACACTCTTTGAAAAAAGAAAAATAAAATTATGAATACAAATTCATAACACCTTGGAAGCAGGGGTAGGAGTGAGGGGCCCTGAGCTTAAGCTTTATTAGATTCCAGTATATCTAATTCTGACTTCCCAGTATTAGGAACAGCCTTTAAAGTTATGCCACATGTCTCTATCCATTGTCTATCGGTCTGTTATCATTATCAACAAATCTAAATTGTTCACAACTGACAATGAATGGAAAGTCTTCACATGAAAGAGAGTAGCTGAGCCCCTCAGTTTTTACCATCTCCCTAGATTTTTGTTTCCTTTTGGAATCTCCCATTGCTACTCTTATCAGTCTAGTGGAGTTCGTAGGCTTCCTGAAAAAGTATTTCCTTCTAAGAGCCATATGAAGACACATACATGCATGCACACACCACATCACAAGAGAAATACTCCTTTGTTACTCTCGAGCTGGTCCTGGCAGACAGTGATAACCCCCGAGTCATGGTGGTATTTGGAGTTGAGTCCCATTTTTCTCTCCTACTGCAAAACTCCTGTGTAGTGGTCCCTTGAATAAAGTTCCTGATTCTCTTTAGTGTCAGAATCATTTTTTTCTTTAACAGTCTGAGCTGAAGCCTTTGAGACAGAATTATAGACGAGCGCTTGACCAAAATTCAAGAGACATGATCTCTTGGGTACATGTCGATAGCAGTAGTAAGGCAGGAATTGTGGGTGCTGTGATTTTATTTTATTTTTGAAAAGATTTTATGATGTGAGAGAGAAACATTGATCGGTTGGTTGTCTCTCTCACGTGCCTGAGCCGGCGGAATCCACAACCCCAGGCATGTGCCCTGACAGAGAACCGAACCAGTGACCTCTGTGGGAGGATGGCCAACCAACTGGGCCGCATGGGTCAGGGCTGGGCACTGTGATTTTAGAACACGTGCTTTGGACAACACCAAGGAAACACCAAAGCAACAAGAATCTCTCTGCTTTAACTCCTAACCTTGGTAAACAAAGATGTTGCACTAACAGATAGCTGGGTCCTCAGGATTCTCCATGTCTGCTCTTTAATGGGGTTCTAGAACTCCTTGGAAAATTCCAGGGCTGCTGCTACTGCTCCTTCAACGTTTTATTAGGGAAAACTTACAGAAGTAGAGAGAATGACTCTCCAAGCACTCATTTCTCAGTTTTCCTATTTATTAACACTCAGCCAATTTTCTTTATCTGTATCTCATGCTCTTTTTCCCACCGTTATTATTTGGTAGCAAATCTCTTAGACTGCATTGTTTTATTCCAACATTATTTCAAAAAGATAAAGGTATTTAAAATCATAGCCACAATGTTAATATCTCAACTAAAAATACATAAACAAGAAGTAATTCTGTAAAATCATTAAGTCAGTGCAGCTTTTTTAGCTATAATTAAAAATTTGTCCAGAGCCAGGCTAGAATTCTCATACATTTGCCACAAAAACTGGGAAATAAATATGAAGAATAATTTTAGTATGTCTCAATTAGTAACTAAGATGAATAATACCAAATAAAAATAATTTGTGTTGTGTGTGCATATGTCTGAAAAAAAGGGATTCACAGAGAAATGTAATCTATTTTTGACATCTGAGAGTACACAAAAGTTGAGATCATAAAAGGAAATTACTAAGTGACATTACTTAATTTTTTTCTGTATTACTGAATATGAGACTCATCTTGAGATATTCATATATTTAGCAAATAAAATGCATGAATGTTTATGTTACTCTTATTCAAAAGTGTTTTAATTGTGTTATAGAAAATAACTACAATGATATCAAATTTAAAGGTACTTTTAAAAAGCAAGGATTTAAATTTTACAGCATAATTTTTAAATAAAAAAATTTAAAAACATATACCATCTACATCTCCTTTATGTATAAAGCATACCCAAAACTAACTTGGAATTTGCAGATGAGAAACAATTTTTTTTCTTTTGCTTTAAATTCTTCATAAATTCTCTAAAACACAACTAAATGTATGATAAGACACTGAAGAATAAAACTTCTTGCATGATATCTGTTAATATCATACAATAAAATAACTTTTTGCTTACACTGGCACTTGAGGTACATTTTTATTTTTGAAATAAGAATCAAAAGCATATTTCTCATCTCTTGAAATGAATGTGGCCCAGTGGTTTGGAGTGGAAGCTCTGGCCACACACATGGGGCTTGGAGAGAACTGCTTTGACTCGGTTCCTTGTCCTGAGGCTGGTGGAAATTGTCACTGCACTGAGTATAAAAATGTTATTACATATGCCCATGGCACAATATTCTATCTAAGATGACTTATGGATATCCTTCTAATTTTAGTGTCAGAAAGACTTTTTTGCATCTCTCAAGCAACTACTTTCTACGTTTTATTAATTTTTAATCTTATGGTCCCTGTGAGTTTTCTACTGCTCCCATTTACATCACTGAGTGGAGAAATCATGTTTCAGGGTAAGTCCTGGCATAGGTATAGGGCTTTGCCTTATGCTCTGGGTGCTAACCTCACTTCTATTTCCACATAACTTACTCTCCTGTTCCTTGCTTCATTCCCTTGTATTCTCTGAAATTGTTCTTTTCTAAATAAAGGATTTTATTAATTTGTTTCATAACTTTGTGAGCAACACTAAATCTTTTTTAGAACAAACTGAAGCATGAATAAATGTTTAACATAACTCTTCATGGGAACATAGTAACAAATACCCACTAACATAATCAAAGGGGCCTTAAAAATAGGCAGTTTCAAGTCAGTAGCCATTTAACTGAATTTTCTAAAGCTCAAGGTTAGGTCTGATTCATTTAAAACACACCTACTCCATTTTATCTCTTGGGTAACAGGATGATCTAATAGTTTTTTGTTTTTTCAGCTATCAGGTGGATGTCAAGTTAAAAGTCTGTGTGGGATCTGTCATGCCTCGTAACACTATGCTTATGTTATTTATAATCTCTGTCCATCCTCAAATCTAATCTAATACAGTATGTCTAAAATTTTATCTAGGAGCAGCTTTCAGAACTGTGATGAAAAGAAACCCTAAACCAACTAATTCAAAATCATTAGCAGTCCTCATGCCTGTATCTTCCCTAGCAAGAAGCATGATCACAATCTCAACAAGTAAGCAATATAGAATGAGGTCACACCTAGCATTTACACAGTGCCTATCATGTTCCAGGCAATGTTCTAAGTGTGTTAGATACATGCTATCATTTGTGTCTCAAACAAATCCAATTTTACAAAATGAGAATGATTAAGGATACTTTCTATTTGCTTAAGCTTTTTTGACTAGGAAGTGGGCAAACCTGGATTCAGAAGCACGCTTTGAGGCCAGCTAGCTTCCTCATTCTCTGGTCCATAGCAGTCCCTTGTGCTGGGGAGGTGAGTGGGGACAAATGCAGATTTATAATGAACACAACCCTTCTCTATTTTTTTCCCTTTAGGACAGCCTAGATCAACTATTCTTAGAATCATTTAAAACAGCTTTCTGTGCCCTGACCAGTGTGGCTCAGGTTCAGTTCTGGGTCAGGGCACATGCCTGGGTTGCACGCCAGCTCCCCTGTGGGGGTGTGTGTGAGAGGCAGTTGGGCCTGGTCTCCAGTTGGGACGCATGCAAGAGGCAGCTGATGGATGTTTCTCTCACACATCAGATGTTTTTCTCCCTCTCTTTCTCCCTCCCTTCTCCTCTCTAAAAATAAATTTAAAATCTTAAAAAAAAACAAACAGCTCTATGGGGTATATTTTACATACCATAAAATTCACCCATTTATACAGTCATGCCATCATCAACACAAACAGGTTTCAGAGCATCTCCTCACCACCTTGGGAGCCAAGCCCTGCTCCCACTCCGATCCTAGACACTGTCAATTTACTTCTGTCTCCATAGTTTTGTCTTTTTAACAAATGCCATATAAATTAAAATCATACAGTCTTTTGTT